TTTCCGTTGTTAGAGCTTGGATCAAATACCAGAATGGAGTCTTTTGAAGTTCTATAACTTGGTTTAAATTGAGTTTAAGTGTTTGAAAAAAGGACACAACAGATGAGAGGTTTGATTAGTATTGAATGTTGTAATTAGCTCTCTTCTTTTGGAGTTTCACAGATCTTTTTCCCTTTGAGCTTGAGTCTTTTGAAATTGGTGTATTCCTCTTGATGCATGTTGCTTCTTTGACTTGGACTTCTTTTTTTAGGTGTCGAGTTTGTTGTGTTTTGTTGTTGCTGCGTTTTAATCTAAGATCGTAACTAGAAAACTCAAAGATTTTTTTTTTTTTTTTGTTGCTGTTTCTGGTGTTTTGTTGCTTTTGCGTTTCACTATTTCTAGACAATGAAAACATAAAGATGTTAGCATTAAATCCCAGAGAAAATTAAACATGCTAGAGAAAATTAAACACAAGGGAGAAAAGTAAGGTGGCCAAAGAAAATTAGACACGGACAAGAGAGTACTAAGTGTTTCCCCGTGGAATATATCTAGCCACAGAAAATTTTCAAAAAAAAAAATAATAATTAAAATGGCAAAGAAAATTAAGCCATGGCAGAGAAATTTTCAATAATTGCTAAAATTACATATAGATGTAAAATATAGTCAGAGAAAATTCAAAAAAGAAACATATATCTAGCAAGCCACAGAAAATTAAAATGCTAGAGAAAATTAAACATGGCAGAGAAAATTAAGCCATGACAAAGGAGGAACAATCAACTTATGTTTTTAACATCTTGTTGTGTTTTGGGTAGCATGGATATTTGTTGGAATGGACTGCACAATGGGCCCATAGGATTTATTAAGTGGTTTTTAACAAAATAAATCAAACATGACATTGAAAATTAGACACACACAAGAGAGAAAAATAATGTGGCCAGAGAAAATTATAAATGTTGGAGAAATTAGACACACACGAGAGTACTAAGTGTTTTTCTGTGGAATACATCAAGCCAGAGAAAATTTCCATTCCCAAAGAAATTTTCTATAACTTAGAAAATTAACAAACGAATACACAATTAGCAAGAGAAAATAAACAAAGCAACATAAACATGCCACAGAAAATTATACAACAGAGAAATTTAGAGGAAAACAAGAATTGAACAAAATAAACATGCTAGAGAAGTTTTCAAAAAAGAAATATAAATCTAGCAAGCCACAGAATATTAAAATGCCAGAGAAAATTGGAGAGAAAATCAAAAAGACACCTAGCCAGAGGAAATCAAGCAAGGCACATAAAGTGAATGGAGTCACATGTGTTCAGACAAATTTGATGGTTGTTTAAATATGGTAAGAGAAAATTCAGACTCGAGAGAAAATTCATCACAAGGAGAAAACTAATAAGTGAAAATCAAACAAACAATATAAAATTGAAATGGTAGAGAAAATTACAGAGAAAATCAAAGAGACAACTAGCCAAAGAAATTCAAGCAAGGAATAGAGAGTAAAAGGAATCTAGTGTGTTCATAGAAAATTGTAATGCCAGAGAAAATTCATCTCAAGGGGATATCTTAATATTATTACGAAATCAAAACCCTAATTAATGGAACGGTATTATAAAATGCAGTGAACTGTAGATATAGAGAAAAACTAGTTCAGGAATAAAAACGCTTATTAGAGTGAGGTGATGAGGATGAAACCCTAATTACGAATGAAGATGAACTGAAATGAAGATGAATAGACTCAAAAATAAATAGTAAAATGCGTCAAAGAAATTTGTGAGGAAGAAATTTCAAAGATTTTCGAGGAAGATGAAATCCTAGCTTCGATGAATATGATGAAACCGTAATGTCAATCGTGAAGATGATGAGACCTTAGTTCGCTCGTGTGTAGCTTGTGGATGTTAGTCGGGGATATCAGGCATCGGAATACCAGTTCATTTTTCTCTGATGAATGTGGAGGGTATTTTCGTCCAAAAACTGAATAAAAAGTGCACGTTTTTTGTTTGAGGGACCTGAGGCGTCATACTATTTTTTAATGTCCTTTATCCTCTAAATTGCTATTATTAGGGATCTTAAAAAAAAATTTCCATTTTTATTTTACACAATCCCACATCTCGAAAAAAAGAAAAAAGTGAGTTGTTTTATTTCTATAAAGTAAACATATGCTTTCATTTAATATTGTAGTGTTGTGCATGTTTCAGTTGAAAACAATTTAAATTTTAAAATAAAATAAAATATAATATAAAATTTGTAAGTAATTAATTTTTGTATAAGTTGGTTAATCTTTTGATTGATTTTAACGATTTTTATTAACATATATTATTTTATTTTTAAAAGGTATGTTTAAATTTTGTGACAAACTTTAACATAAAATAAACTAAAATTAAAAAATTTATAAAATGAAGTTTATTTTTATTTTATTCTATTTTTTTTCGTCTTTACCAATTAAATTATGACATATATTTCTTATTATGAACTTAAAATATACAATTAATGACATAATAACTATAATATATATATATATATATATATATTCTAATAAAATAGTTAAAATTTAATTTATTATAATTTTTTTTATACCTTTTAAATAAATTTTATATTATTATTTAATTTTAAAATTATTTTTAATTACTTATTTAGACCATGCATTGCCCGGATTGATATGCTAGTAAACTATGGGTCTTTGGGTAACACACTAAAAAAAGATAAAAGTCAATTTTTAATTTATATTAAATCACATTATCTTTCACATGAAATAATAAAAAAAAAATTAAATAAATCAAAAAAAATTACCTCAAAACACCATGTAATCAAGGGTCTTTTCCCAAACTAAGCCTCTTTTGCCTCCTATTTTCCAAACTAGGCCTAGTTTTGACGGATTTTCCAAACTAAGCTAAAGCGCTATTACAAATCGCGCTTTAACTGTTTGGAGGCTAAAATTTGATGAATAGTGAAGGTACTATTGTGAATCGCGATTTTACTTAAGAAAACGCTGTTCCGAATAGCGATTTTAACCTCAATAAAACGCTATTCCAAATAGCGCTTTATTTGCGGATTGGTTTTGTAAAGAAAACGCTATTACAAATAGCGAGTTTACTTGTGAAGAAAACGCTATTACAAATAGTGAGTTTACTTGTGAATAAAACGCTATTTAGAATAGCGTTTACACTGTTAAACTGCAATTGAGAACGCTTTCAGTGTTCATTTCTTTCTTGGTAAGCAGATTATTGTTTAATATTTTGTTTTTTTCCTGTTGTCATTGTTTTGGTGATAATGTGATTTATAAAATTTTATTGGCTTTAAAGCCATTGTCATGTTAAAATTTGTTTTTTTTTTTTTTTTTTTTGGTTTAGAAGGTGTAATTCTGAAATTTTACATAATATGAGAAAAACCTCTTTTCATATATTTATTTTACATAATATTTTTCATATATATAATTTTAAAATCATATTCATTTAGCCAACCATGTTCATTTACAAAAGTCATGGTTTCACTGTTCACTATTGTAAGTATGGATTGAAACCACACTTTCACTGTTCATTTAAATTAGATTTAATTTTTTTTGTAAATATTTTTTTTCTGTTGTCATTGTTTCGGTGATAATGTAATTCATAAATTTTGTTTGGCTTTACTGAAGCCGTTCTCATGTTAAATTTTTTATTTTTTCTTTTGTCTTTGTTTTGGTTTAGAAAATGTAATTCAAAAATTTTTTTGGTCTTTACTAAAGCCATTTTCATGTAAATTTTTTTTGTTTATTGTTTTGTATTAATTTGTTTTGGGTTAGAAGGTGATAATGTAATTAATAATTTTTTTTTTGCTTTACTAAAGTCGTTTTTCATGTAAATTTTTTTTTCTTTTGTCTTTGTTTTGAGTTAGAAGGTGTTATTCAGAAAATTATTTTGGTTTTACGAAAGCCGTTTTCATTTAAATATACATATATATTTATCATTTTGTCTTTATTTTGGGTTAGAATGTGATAATATAATTCAGAAAACCAGTTTAGTAAAACCGTTTTGTATCCGTTTTCATTAAAAAAATTTATTTTTTTGTTTCGTCTTTGTTATGGATTAGAAGGTGATATGCATGCTCTACAGTCCGAAGCACACCCACACACTGTGCAGCTCGACGAGCAACGACGAAGGGTGAGATGCGAAGACCACCACGGAATAGGCTAAGAAGACGAAGGCCACAACGAGAGCTCCTAAAATAAATTTTGTCAACATTTTTGTAATAAATCTTAATACATAATATACGAAGTCACTAATTTACTAAATACTCATACAAGCATGAAAACAACATAACTGAAGTTGCAAATGTAATAGTTTTCAGTTACATAGGTAGTACAGACATAATTCTCCCACAAAAATACATTCTGGACACCATGAACTGAACACACATTACATACATCCTGGACATCCTAAACTGAACACACAATACATAAACATAACAGTTAGACAGACAAACACCTAATTCATGACCTAATATTACATATTAATAGCCGCAACATTTGACAGACACAATACATAAACATAAACATAAACATAAACATAATATAACAGTTATATTTACTCTAACACAGACATTACATATTAATGCATGACCTAATATTGTCGAAGTAACATAAACATAAACATAAACATAAATATAAACATAGCATAACAATTGCATGGTATGTAAAATCGCTATTCGAACAACGTTTTTTTAAGTAAAATCGCGATTCACAATAGTACCTTCACTATTCATCAAATTTTGACCTCCAAACAATTAAAGTACGATTTGTAATAGCGCTTTAACATAATTTAAAAAATCCGTCAAAATTAGGCCAAATTTAAGAAATAGCAAGCAAAGGAGACTTAGTTTGGGAAAAGATCTTGGAATCAAAGAGCTACAACAAACAGTCGCGTTGTACATGACCCATCCCTACGTGGCGTTTGTTTATGACCGTTTTCAGGCCTTATTGGCGAGAGAGTCAATGCGCTCACACGTGCACCACCTAACATTCTTCTGTTTTCACATCCCTCCATCTCAAGCCCTAAAACGTCTGGTTCTCTTAGCTTCCAGATGGGTAATAATGCTTATGCATCCTCGTCTTCTTCCTCCAATTCAAACCTCACAATTCTAATTCTAGTCAGAGAAAACATATATTGGAGGATCAATGGCCTCTCTACTCACATATGCTCATACATTATAATATATATGCATATATATAGGGCAAAACAAAGACTTGTGGTGGACCAATGGATACTTTTTCTTCTTCTTCTTCTACTCAGTCGCTCACATTCTACGATTTCCTTGATCGAATGAGGAACCCTGCTTCTCTCGATCTTGTTCGATCCATCAAAAGGTCTCTTTTTTTACTTTGTGATTTCGTTGATTATGCTTGCTCCACCCTAGAAATCCTGTTTATTTCTTTTTTAAGATGACCCAGAATAGAGAAATTATCTTTGTATAGTTGGCATAGATGATCAACCCACCAAAAGTACTCTCAATGAATCAAATTAGGATCAATTTACTTCTGTATGTTTCATTTGAGCTTGTTGTGCAATGTTCCATAATTTTTGTTGAGCTTTCAAAACTCTGCTTATATTGTCAACTTAAAAGGATTATCATTATTTAGGGGGCACTTCCACCAACTCAGCAGTAGTTAAATCAACAGATTCCTTGTCTCTGAGCAATGCACGCACACACACACGCAAGGACGAAAGTATTGGGCCTATGTTTTGCTTATTACTAGTTTGTGTTTGGATTAGTCCACCCATGCGATAAAGTTGGGTCCCAAGGTTGGTTTTATATGTGTATTTAGGTTAGGATACTAGATTCTGGAATCTACTAGGCAACCTAATATGTAGAATTTTGTGACCTAATTGTATGAAACTAGGATTCTCATGGGTAGACTATTATAAATAGGCATGTGGACTATAGGATTTTCTGAGAGAAATTTGAGAGATTGAGGTGAGGGAAAAAATAGAGATGTAAGGGGTGAGGGGAAAAATACCGTGAGGGCACCGTGTAAGCAAGGGTTCAATTACCCTTGAGCATGGCGTTCGGGTCGTGGTGTAAGTTTTGAGTGTTTTGGCCATCTCACATGTATTCTCTATTTTTGTCATAGTAGAAACTCTCTCTCCTGTGGATGTAGGTAATTTGGGCCAAACCATGTGAATCTGTGTGATTATTGTTTCTCTTTAGTGTGCATGGTGTGCTTTTGTTTGTGTTGGTGGGATATGGTATGAATCCCAATAGTTTGCTCATGGAATTTGATTGGCACTATCTCCATTTATTCTCAAACCACATATAAATAAATGCTGAGATTATGATGGTGATATCTATAGCATTAATTCTTGTAATGGTGACATATATTCATGAAGGACTAGCTTTTTCATTTGCGAAAGAGTTGAGTTTTCTTCGTCTCTGGTATTGGTATTGCATAGTTATTGTCAATTATCCATGACCTTACTTTTCTAAGAAGTTTAGGTTTGCTTGAATACAGTTCTTTGCTCTTGAAAGCGGAGAAGATGAAAATTCCATGGAAAATGCAACTCATACACCATCTTGGGAACATGCATTTCAACTTTCAAGGAAACCATGTATGATAGTTTTGTGTTTTTTTTTTAAAAAAAATGGGTACTCGAGTTGATTAAAGTTGTGAGTAACCTAGAATGGTTGCAAATGTTTCATCAACTGTAGACAGTTGAAAAGATCTTTTGAAAATGCTACCAATGAAACCCTTAATTTAAATTAATTGATGGAGGAAAAGTGTGGTTTGAAATATTCTTCAAAATTGGAAGAATCTGTGGGAGAGTAGTGAATAAAATGTTAGCTCTCAAGTCAGTGAAAAAACCAAAGAGAGGGAGGGGCGAGGGGGAAAGAACACTCAGAACAGTGACTCTGTTTTTGAAAGAATAAATCATTCCAACAAAATTCCTATGAGGCTGTTTGAAAAACTAGAGAACCTGGTTTAGTAATTATTACTCCATCTGGTTTTAAAATTAAATGTCTTCCATTTCTTTCAACCGCACAACATGAGGAATAATGATGTCACTTTCCAGCATGCATGGCTCTATGCAAAAATGGTTATTATCATTTGTTATTTGAAGCCACCTTTATTTATATAATTTCTTTCTCAACACCATCATAAGACATGCACTCTCTTTCTATTTGGATGATTATTCCATTTCATGAACCTGGGTTTCTTTTCTTGTGGGTAGCTTGCTAATTCTTTCACCATTTGAACTTCTAATTCTAAATGCTGTAAGTAATTCCTCGCAGTTTTATCGTATCATTTTCTTTTTATGCGGCAAATACTGAAAATGATGGCAAAAGTTTACAAGATTTTCTCTTGACAATGGAAGCTGCTATTAGGGATCATCCATTGTGGGCTGGTGCTTCAGAGGAAGAAATTGATTGCGCTATTGAGGTAACTGTTGTTCAGTATACACTTTCACTTACTTTCTTCCAATTAAGTTTTGAATAATTTCCTGATTTGGTCGATAGGGCTTGGGTGTTCTGGTTTTTTGTGCCCCTTGTCTTCACAAAATACATGAGTTATCACAAGGTTAATCCAACTTTTATTGTTGAAGGTTCAAGCCAATGTAAACTAAAGGAAAGTTTTCATTTTATCTCGGACTCTTGGTATTGTTTTGAAAATTTCCAAGGAGAATTTTCCAGGTCAAGACTCAAGAATGCCATGACTAAGATAAGGAGTTGATAGGGCTCAAGTTTTCTCTTACCTAAGCTACTTGGGATGCAAATGACAAGGTTTTTTAGTACTTAAGGGAAAAATTATTTCTAAAGCATTTATCATTCTGGAAACCTGTCACCCTCTCTCTAACCACAACGAAAAACAAAATACAAGGTTGGTAGTGGTCTTGAAGCTTTAGCTAGTGTAGTGTAGCCAAACTTGAACCTATTCCTAAGCAGTAAGCACAATTGAGGTTGTTGATTAGTTTAATGGACATTATTTTTGTGAAATACAATATTCCTATTTACCTATGCACTAAACACCATTCTCAAACTGCTTTTGCTTCTTTTCTTGAGCACTACTTTATTTGGGCAAGTTCTTAAGGGTTTATGTTTCTTCAAAATGCTTATGTTTGATCCTTTATTTCAGCATCAAAGTGTTTTAACAATTTGATATGGCCTGAAAAGGTTATTAAAATAATCTTAATGGTTGAGATAATGAATATTATAGGAGGATTATGAATTTGATGTTTGAAGAAGAGAAAGAAAGATAGAAAAATTGGAAAAGTCTAGGTAGTTGGGCTTGGGATTGTAAGAACTCACACCCAAAAAAGAAAAACTTCTCGTCTGGGTATAACTGGCTTCAATTCAAAATAGTTTGTTGTTATTGATTCTTTTGTAAGTCCTTTTTTTTTTTTTTTCAAAAGTTAATTGATGATTCAAATGTTTAATCTTTTGACTCTCGTAAGATGATTTGGAAGGCTCATAAGTTGATTTGGAAATGTAGTTGTGCCACTTAAAGAAGGTTTTTCTGAGGAACTTGGTTCATAAAAAACTCAATACTAATTACCTGTTTCAGATAGGGAGACCTAATCGTTGTGTACTCCCTCAATGGTGTGTTATGTGTAGGATGTATAAGGAGAGTTGTGGTCATTCATTTTTGCATTATCTTATAGCTTTGGCTTTATAGTGGAGACTGATGTGATTAGTGTATTTGGATTGGGTTCAACCTTCCTCTTGTGTTCAAATATTAGAAATTGAGTTTTAAGAATTTGGCCATAATAGCAAAACCTAGATTTTTTTGGGTTCACAAAGCGAACATTCTCGACCTAGCTCAAAGCCCCATATCATACCTCTTTCCATTGATTGGCTGATTATTTAACTCAAGGCTTCCATCACTACAACAAACAAAGGGGTTTTGATGCGAAACATGTAGATGCAAGGTACTTGGATCGATGAGTGGCAAGACAGTAAATTGGGATTAGGCGTAACATTGTTAGTTTTGATCTAACAAATTTTGATTGACTGATTCCTATTTTTCTAGTGTGACTGATAGTGTGACAAGGGGAACACTTTGATTTGCATGCGTAAGACATTTTTGGTTAAAAGGAATCAATTGTGCATTCCAAAATCCAATATTCACTTAAAAATTATTAAGGAGTTGAATAATAAGCTCATGTGGGAAAGGAAAAGACCTTTATGCTAGTGATGCTTCTTACTTTTGGCCTTCTTTGTGTCGAGAAGTACCTACAAGTAAGTTTATGAAAGGGTTCCGTATTTGTCAAGTTTCGAAGGGCGTGACAACGAATACAGGGTTTAATATGCCATCCTCACCTGTACCTATTTAACCATGGCTTGATGTAAGCATATATTTTGTGTTAGGAACTTAGGGCTACCTCATACACATCTAGGTCATTTTTTTTTTGTTAGTAGATTGCGTATGAAAAATGACTCATTTTATCACTTTGAAGAAGACTAAGGATGCTGTGAATATAGAGCACCATTACATTTTTGAGAGGTCTACCACCTACATAGTTTGCTAATCTCCCTTGTGTCTAACAGAGAAAAACGGTTCCTTAGCCATTTGTACTGATGCTTGTGGTAGTTGGCTAGCACCAAGTTGGACTTCAATAGCACGTATTGCCCTTAGAAGGATGGGCAAACTAAGGTTGAAATGCGAGAATTTTTTATGATAAGTTTGATGGGTAAACTAGGCTTGAATTTTTGATACCCATCCTGCATAACCATGCATACTTCTCAAGTCCACCATAAATAAAATGTTAAGAAAGTTTATACATTATCTGGCTAATCATCTAAGGCTTACAAACTAAGTATTCACAAAAGAATGTACACTTAAATTTTTCACTTATAAATTAAGCTTCTCCTCCCCTACTCAAAGAATAAGTTGATTTTTGACTTACAAAAAGCTATAAGCTGTGTTGTTAAGCTGAACCACTCATTAACGGCTCCAAATCCCATAGTAGTACATAGGGTGGAAACCCCACAAGGGTAGGTACAATTCCACGCCACGCCCATCTACATTTGCAAAAGTAAAGGCATCACGAGCCAAAACTTCTTGAGTCACATAGCCCATCAATGTTGATTTTGACATGATAATTGGCCGTGAGACGTTTCTGGCTAATGTTGTGTTTGGGCTGCATGCGAGTAGGTCTTACACGTCGCCTCTATATTTTTGCTCCTTTGAGCTGGCTAAAATCTTTGAACATCTTAGCCAAAATTCTCACCCCCTTCCTGGGTCTCCATGTTTTTATTTAATTTTTGTTTTAATTATACTGTACGTAAATGAACATTAATTATGTTGTTTATGGTTAGCTTGGTTCATAAAATGAATGTGCCTGCTAGCCTAGCTAGTAAAGTTTCTTGATAATCATAGATTCATGACATAGACATGATTGAATCCTGCCTTCACTATGTTGGTGTGGTCAATGTGTAGGGTAGGTTACCTCGTGTTCTGTTGCCCATCAGCATTAGACCTAGAAAAAGAGGAAAGTAAATAAGAAACTTATCTTGTAAAATAGGCTCATATAATGTTTCCAAAACCTAGCCTGAAAGAAAATTTATTGCAGGCTGCTGCTGTTCAATAATGGACATCCAAAATTTCTTCAATTGAGGCTGGTCCATGCTGACCCAAGTCAGGGTGCTTATAAATACACCCGAAAGTTCTCTTCACGCCCAAAATTTCTCTCAATAATTTTGATTCATAAACTTATCATTACAACGTCAAAACCCTAGATCAAAACCCTAATCTAATTAGGAAACTTTTCCTAATATTATTTTGGGAAACAACATCAAATTGCATGCCAAATATTATGTAATTAGACCCAACTAAATAATAATAATAATAGCTACCAATTATATGTATGGGGACCAAAAAGCCTTCAGGTTCACCTTAGGCTTCCAAGCTCGATAATTGGCCTCTAGCCAATCTATGGCTGTGCACCAACATGTCCTTTGTGTTTTGCAGGGTTTGGAGAAATATGTCATGACAAAGTTGTTCTCTCGGACATTTACATCCCCCGAGGATGCCAACATTGACCAGGAAATTTCAGAGAAAATATGCTTGTTGCAATACTTTTTGAGGCCTGAGCATTTGGATATTCCAGAAGTTTTTCATAATGCAGCTTCATGGCTGGTACTTTTGCTGCCTTTTTTTTTATTGCGTTCAGTTTGCTGTACTGATAGTAATGCTATGTTCTTGAAATTTGTAAATTTAGTTTTGCATTAACCATAATGCCACTATACTTGGTATTTATACGAGCACTCTTTATTTTATAGCTTTAGCCCTTAGAAATTCTATTTTTAGGGCTTTTTTGGCATGTTGAGAAAAAGTCAAAAAGTCAAAAAGTTACTCAAAAAGTAAAAAAGTTATCACTATTCACAAATTAAAAATATAAAAAAATTAATTTCCACAATATTAGTACAATCCAAAAGGTACACAGTGATGGTACTTAAGTGATGGGAAATTTATGCAGTGATGGTACCAGAAAAAAATTAGATATATATATTCATTAAGTTGGAGGGTATTGTTGGGCCAGCGGGGCCCACCACGGATCCCGTTTCGATAATCCGAACCATTCAATGTATAGAACTTGTCGAGTATTATATGCCTGAAAAAAAATCACATTGATCGGATATGGATAGCTATGTGATCAAATCAGATTTTTTCCATCCGTTTATTTTTCACCGTCCATTTTTCTCATACAAAATTGTTTTGAACACGTAACTATCGATATCCGATTGAACGGATTTTTTACAGGCATATAGTACTCAACGAGTTCTATACATAAAATGGTTTGGATTATCGAAACAGGACACGTGGTGGGCCCCCACAGGCCTAACAGTACCCGTGAAACCTCATGCTATATAAGCATATGGTTCAGATTCTTCTCACCATTTCAACCATTCCGTACAGTCCTTTAGTAGCACTGTCATTGATGAGTATAGAACGTAGGGGTAAAAATGTAATTTTTCTATTTTATACAATATTTTAATACATATTTTTTTTTTGTAAAAAGACAAAAAGTTATCCCAAACAACCATATTTTTTTTCCTCTACTTTTTAGTTCAAAAAGTCAAAGAGTGCACTTATTTAGGACACCCCAAACCTATGAAGCATGGACACGGCAAAATGGAAGCCATGGCGGTGTCGGATACGGGGACACGCCGGGGACACGTACGGGACACGGCATCTGGCGTGTCCCTTTAATTTAATTTATTTTTTTGTAGGGGACACGCGTGTCCAAATCTGGACACGCCATGGACACGGCGAGAAGAGTAAATGAAAGGGAAAACGAGTACGAACCTGGTCGGCGACGATCCAGAGCCCTTCGGTTCACCTTAGGCTTCCAAGCTCGATAATTGGCCTCTAGCCAATCTATGGCTGTGCACCAACCTGTCCTTTGTGTTTTGCAGGGTTTGGAGAAATATGTCATGACAAAGTTGTTCTCTCGGACATTTACATCCCCCGAGGATGCCAAGATTGACCAGGAAATTTCAGAGAAAATATGCTTGTTGCAATACTTTTTGAGGCCTGAGCATTTGGATATTCCAGAAGTTTTTCATAATGCAGCTTCATGGCTGGTACTTTTGCTGCCTTTTTTTTTATTGCGTTCAGCTTGCTGTACTGATAGTAATGCTATGTTCTTCAAAATTGGTAAATTTAGTTCTGCTTTAACCATAATGCCACTATACTTGGTATTTATACGAGCACTCTTTATTTTATAGCTTTAGCCCTTAGAAATTTTATTTTTAGGGCTTTTTTGGCATGTTGAGAAAAAGTCAAAAAGTTACTCAAAAAGTAAAAAAGTTATCACTATTCACAAATTAAAAATATAAAAAAATTAATTTCCACCATATTAGTACAATCCAAAAAGCTACACAGTGATGGTACTGAAGTGATGGGAAATTTATGCAGTGATGGTACCAAAAAAAAATTAGATATATATATTCATTAAGTTGGAGGGTATTGTTGGGCTAGCGGGGGCCCACCACAGATCTCGTTTCGATAATCCGAATCATTCAATGTATAGAACTTGTTGAGTATTATATGCCTAAAAAAAATCACATTGATTGGATATGAATAGCTATGTGATCAAATTAGATTTTTTCCAGCCGTTTATTTTACACCGTTCATTTTTCTTATACAAAATTGTTTTGATCACGTAGCTATCGATATCCGATCGAAGTGATTTTTTACAGGCATATAGTACTCAATGAGTTTTACACATTAAACGGTTTGGATTATCGAAACGGGACCCGTGGTGGGCCCCCATGGGCTTACAGTACCCGTGAAGCCTCATGCTATATAAGCATATGGTTCAGATTCTTCTCACCATTTCATCCATTCCGTACGGTCCTTTAGCAGCACTGTCATTGATGAGTGTAGAACGTAGGGGTAAAAACGTAATTTTTCTATTTTATACAATATTTTAATACATATTTTTTTGTAAAAAGACAAAAAGTTATCCCAAACAACCATATTTTTTTTCCTCTATTTTTTAGTTCAAAAAGTCAAAGAGTGCACTTATTATTTTTTGTTATTTTTGTTACTTTTTAAGTCTGGTCTGCTCAGATTTTATTTGGATGAACTTTCAGTCAACATAAACAAGCAGTTGGCTTTGATTACTAATCACACTTGTGTTCCTTCAATCATTTTGTTAGATGCTTCTATAATCAATGGAAAAGATCAGTCAGAATGTTGTTGCTGGATTAACTGCATGTGCTAGGACATGAGACTTATCATGACGTAATGAATTTATAAAATCTTGAAGACAAATGTTCAATATTTTTATGTCTTGCTTCTTTCAGCATCTACTGTTGGTCTGTGATTATTTTTCTCATAAATTCTTCTGGATGATGATCAAATTTGGGGAATAAAGTTTTTTTTGAAAGCTATCTATAATATCTAAGTAGTATTTCTTTCAATAGGCCTCTGCTATGCCTGGAAGGCCTTCTTGACAAAGGATTTTAAGTATGGATAATTTTATTTGTTGGTAATCTTTGGAATACCTAATGAAGCAAGTTGTTATCTGGGCTTGGATTATTTTTATTATTTTTTTTAAAAAAAATAATTAAATTAACAAGTGAACTCAAAGCAACTCAGCAAACGTGTTTCTCAACTATTATGGTTGGCTATGCAAACCTTTTACCTCTTTTAGCAACTTAAAGGATTCCTGTTCACGATGTTTGACAGATGGTTCTTTGTTAATGACGTACCTAATGGAATTCTCTGACTGAGATGTGGAGGGGCTACATTAAACCTAGGTTAAGTCTTGCAACCTTCATATATTTATCTAATTGTTGGAAATTAGAATGAGGCAGGTCTGGGGTTACCATGTCTTGGGAAGTTGGGACATGAAAATTCCTAATTAACATGAACGTAAGGATTGGTTTGGCAATCAGCTAATATAGCCAAAAGGCCAAAAAGTAACTATGAAAAAGTCAACTCTTCTCTACTTTTTTGCATTTCTTTTCATAAAAAGCCAACTAAAATAGCTAGTTCCCAAAACAACCCTCAATATGTAGGGCAGCTTGGGGCAAGACAAGTAGGGTGGCATGGGTTGATATCAAGTTGGAGAGAGAAGGGAGCAGGGCGGAAATGTATCACAATAGTTTAGGCTACCTATAAGGACTGGAAAAAAAAATGGACTTTTAATTAATATAGTTGAGCCCTATTTAAGTTTAATTATTTATCAATTAAGTTCACAAATTTCTCTATTCATTTCAATTTAGACCTCCATCAGTTAATTTTCGGCTCCACCATTTGTCTCAGTTTGCGTGCATTGGTTCTCAAGCCGACATGGGACCCGAGGAACAAACCCTCTGGGCCTATTGTACGATGTTAATGTCATCATAGAATCCTCTTAGATTATAATCTAAAGGCTTGTTGAGAGAAAGTAGTGCAATGACCACCTCGCTTTGCGTGCACCTGAGGCCCAACAAGCACAAGATTTGAGAGATGGAATCTCCGGATCCAATATTAGATGTTAATATGTTAACACAGAGTTATTTAATAATTTGAAGAGATTCTAGTGAATTGGGAATTCTGGTGCACAGTTTGTCTCGTAACGTGTGCGTGCGGGTCTGGTTTGGTTTGAGATTAAGGAGATGGAATCTTTGTGCCCAATAATTATTAATTTTGTTATTTATGTGTATTATTTATTTTAATTATCCCTGTAAATTTCATGGAATTCATGTACAGAAGGTGCGCATTTTTTGTGTTTGAATCTATTCAAATTTGACCTAGGGTTTTGGGAGAAGCCCAAAACCCTCAACTAAAGCGAAGTTTATAGAATTGGGGATCCAAGAGGCCTAGAGGGCTGAACCCCCTTGTCCTACTCCCTTTGGTCATCTTTTGCCCAAAATGGGCCATGCACTTTACTTACACAATCACCTACCAATTTACACAATTACCATTTGGGCAATAACCACTTTAATAAGTGTGCTAAGAATGCTTTGACCTATATAATCCTATTATATGTGTATAATTTTATAGAATTCAAAATAAAAGGCCTAGATGCATTAATATGGGTACGGGGACTCGTTATGGACAAACATATTATATATTATATAATATTCTTAGATAAGATGTTATAAATTATGTAGAAATGTACTTGAAATTGAATTAGACTTTAGAAAAGATTCACATTTTTTTTTTCTCTCATCTATGTTGGAGGTTATAAATGTTTATTTTTTTAGCAAATTGTGAGTTCCTTATTCTTCAAACATCGTAAAAAGTTAAAAGAGGATCCACGTGTCTCAATTGGGGGTACAATTGTTGGATTCATATTCCACACCCTAATCCTTATCATGTCCGATGGGCACAAATACTTTCGGGAAATAGAAGAGAACATGTATCAATTTGGGTTTCATTTATTGATTTTTTGTGGGTTTGATTTGTTTGTAGAGGGATCAAAGTAGAATTCAAAAGAAACAATAGGACCACCAGTATAATAAATAAATTACACTGCTCTTCTCTATAGGTTCATTTGAATTGCACTTTGGTCTTTTTAGTTTTTCCGTTCAAAATGTTAACAGTGCATGATTGAGAGACAATATTGCAACTAAATTGGCAGTTATGGAGTTCAAATCATTCAAATTCAAACTATAGGGACTAAAGTAAATTTTGCTTAAATTACAAAGACTAATGGTATAATTTACCGAAAAAGTATACCAAACCCAACTTAACTAAAGTTGGCCTTACGAGCATATTTTCAACTTTTTGAGCTGAAATGAAAATAACCTAAAAATTTGAAGTTTTACCAAACACCCAAGTTTTCAAAGCACTTAAGCATGGGATTTCAAATTTTAAGCTAAACAAGTAGAAAATTTTTTTCTCCAAACAGGGTTACATCTTATTTGTAATTTTCAGTGCAAAGTTCTTATTTTTGTTTGTTAAATTATGAGTTTTATATGCTTTGGGAAGTAATTCCGTTATTTTTGCTATTCCTACCCTAACCCTTCCTTCGTTTTCTCCCCCTAAACAGCTTGCAGAGAAAGAATTGCAGAAAATCAATGCTTTCAAAGCTCCTCGTGAGAAACTTCTGTGTATTCTGAATTGTTGCAGAGTCATCAATAATTTGCTGCTCAATGCATCAGTGTCAGAAAATCGTGTACCTGGGGCTGATGATTTTCTTCCTGTACTTATATATATTACGATCAAGGCAAGCCCTCATTGGTAATAAGCCACTCTTCCAATCATCATATTATTGATCTGATCATGTTTTCTTTTGAGCAAATGGGTCATGAAGTGGATGAGGGGATTTCTTACTGTTTTCACTATAATAAGCAATGAAGCTTGGGAGTGTTCTTGATCATGATATTTAATAATGATTGTTCTGTACACATATTTGACAGAACAAAATGCATTTATGTTATGAATTTAGTCAACTGCTAAGATTGATTATGAGCTTCTTAATCTTGTTGACTACACACGTTCTTTTTATTTCATGCAAACTTCCGCTTTCGTGAAATAGCTGTCTCTGCCTGGTGCCTTGTCCTGCTCAATGTCTTTTTGTGTTGTTTTGGGTCAGCAACTAAGAAATTTTTTTAATAATGAAAAAGAAGTACAAGAAGTGTACAGAAGAGGACAAGCAGTCCACCCAGAAATGAAAATAAAGTAAAAGAAGGGAAATATCATGCACCATTCTCAATCAACACTAATAAAAAAACATAGGAATTCCTTTAAAAGCCAGTGACTCAGAAGCCCTAAAGGAAGCCAAATATACTTTATCCTATACACTGACAAAGTCTTCCGTCTCCTAAAAAATCGTCACTTTCTTCTCCAGTCTTGTCTTGGTCAATGTTTGTTAAGTTATCTTGAACTTTTCCAAAACCCTCATTTGAGCATTGTTGCATATATTTTAATTTTTATCAAGAACCATGAAATTTGGTTTGGTATGCCAAAGTTTGGGCTGCAATAAAATCAAAATAACTGTGCCAAGTTTGGTTTGTTATTCCGAGGTGCTTGGGCAGAACCCTGAAATTACTTGCAAAAGAGTACTGGTTTGACATGTGTTTAGGTTTTTTCCCCTTTATTTGCAGTGGGTAAGAATTAAAACTCAAAACTCAAGCACACACAATCATCATACTTCACTCTCACTAACTGAAGAAAAATTTTCTTGTAGTGGTGGAAGATTTCAACGAGCATTTATCGTAATAGTAATGTGTTTACACGTAGAGGAGCCCTCAGTGCCTATAATTATTGACTACATCATACAAACAACATCGCAGGGAAAATTTTAAAAATTGTGGGGAAACTAGATGCAATGTTAACATGGTTATGTGGCAAGATTCTAGTGTAGAACTTGACAGGTAGTTTGGTTTGCCTGTCATTTTGTTTTCCTTTTATTTATTCTATATATGTATATGTTAAGAAGCATGAACACGGATACGTGACACGACACGGACACGCCGACATTGAAATTTTCAAAAAATGCAGGATACGTTACATGGGAGAATACTCACAAAATGTATAATTATATATATTTATTGTATGTTATAGGTAAGGATAAACAATAATTAGATGTCATGTATATGAATATTTGATTCAAAGATAATAATAAAGTGCAATGTAACACTAATTTCTAATGTCTAAAAGAGGATAATAGGTATAAATTTATATTATTTTTGTTTTATAATTGAATTTCAAGTTATTTTATTCAAACTTGTAATGTATTTCATGTGTGTCTAAGTAATAGACATGTGTGTTCCCCAAGTTTGTGAAGAGTATTCAAGTTTAGTAAATTTCAAACTATAGTAGACATGTCTAGACATGTGTCGAGAAGTGTCTGAGAGTGTTGTGTCAGTGTCTGACACGGCACACTACCTTCCTAGAAGTGTCAGTGCTTCTTAGTGTATATGTGTATATATATATATATATTTTCCTTTAGTATCCATGGTAGGAGTGTTTGGTAATGTTACTTTGGGGTTAGAGTTGGCTTAATTCGTGGGCTTGTTAATTTGAATTTTATATGTAAGTGATGATGTAGTGACATTGTTTGCTTACTGAATGAAGAGATGCTTTAAAGTAAACTATTAGTAGCATGTGATGCATTTTTTTTTTTACTTTGGTGCAAGTGCCTAAGACCATAGATGCTTCTCTTCGATTTTTCTCACTCTTCTTCAACCTTTTGCTTCTTAATTTCCTTCACCCTATTGTTATCCAAATGATGAAATTAGTCCAAAACTAATTTTTCTAGCCTCATCAAGCTACTAAGGAGCTTTGGTGCTTAAAGTGAGACACTGTAATTCACGGATGTTGTTGGCACTTGTGGGGTTTTTATTTTCGGTAAGTAAGAAATTTTATAAATGAAGAGGAAAAAGTACAAAATATAAGGGGGCATTCGCCAGGTCAAAGCCAAGGATGGAGGCCATCCAAGGACAAGAAACACAAGTCAAAGACTACAACACAATCTGTCTGAACAAAAAACAAAGATGAAGTAAGAGCAAAGAGTATCTACTAATGTTGATTTGGATCTGGGATCTTGGATTCCTTTAGGAAGGCACAAGCGAGAACAAATGCTAATCATGATTTCTTCTGTAACTGACTTCGCACATTTCTAAACTATTATGATAGGGTTTGGAATTCCTCTCCTTCCAAACTACATACTATGCGACTGCTAGAAGGCAATGACACAGCATCTTACCCAAAGTCTTACCTCCAAAACTGACTGGACTTTTTCAATCAGTTCAGTTCATCGCCTGCTAGGCCTTTGGACATTACACTTATGGCATAACTGGTTCCACATGCCCCCAACAAAGGAGCATTCAAAAAAGAGATGGTCACGGTCTTCCACATTACCCCTACAGAACACACAGCCTATGGAAGAATCTTCTGATAAGCTAACATTTTGTCCCGAGTATAAAGCCTCATTTGGATAGCAAGCCATGGGATAAAAGCATGACATGGTACATGTTAAGGGAACCAAACTTGCTTATGTCATAAGACCACCTGCTTCTCACATTGTAGCAGCCGCCATACACTGTTAATGAGACGATTGCTGTCCTTAGTCCATAAGATAGTATCTCTTCTATCAGCCTGAGAGGAAAAAACCTTCAACACAATGAGCTCTGTAGAATTTGTACAAGGCCACTTCCTGCAGACCTCACCAATGACCACAACCACTGTCGTGTTCCTCCCAAGACCTGAGTCATAGATAGCTCTCTCCACTTTGCTTAGGGCCATTAGGAAGCCAGTAATCAAACCATAGGGAGGTACTCTTCCCATCCTCAACAAAGTGCTTGATGTAGGGTCTAACAAGTTCTTGCAGCTTTAAGAGCTTTCTCCATGCCCATGAACAATCCGTAGGAACGTTTACTTCCCACATAGTGCACCATTTCAACAGATTGCAATGAAGCCATTTTACCCCAAGAGAGTTCCTCCAAAGAGAGTTTCCCTCATCACAAATTAGGAACCAAAGATGTTTAACAACGGCAGCCTTGTTCCAGTTGCATAAGTCCGTAAAACTTGTTATTGCGTTATTCGTTCTTTGGCTGTTTATAATTTATTGGTCCAAAAGACAGGTAATTGTTTGTGTGATAGAGTTATTTGCCTTGACCATCAAAGACACCGGTAGTTAATTGTTTGATTGATAGTGGAGTTATTTTCCTTGACCATCAAAGACACCGGTAGTTAATTGTTTGATTGATAGTGGAGTTATTTTCCTTGACCATCAAAGACACCCACAAACACTAGTTGCATCCCTCTGTTGCAATTTTTGGGAATGTACTACTCTGTAAACATCCCTCACTCACCCACGGAAACACATTTGTGGATTCTGTTTGTGCGGCCTTTTGGTCTTGAAGTTGAATTGTTGTAACTATTGCAGATTTAATAAAATAAGATGAATGAAAAGAGAAAAATTACAAATTATTTAAAATATAATTAAAATATGTAGTTACTAAATTATTTGTTGGGTGGCAAATGTAGCCATAGTCGCCGTGTTAAGTCACATTGCTTTCATTTATTTTATTAAAATAATTAAATTTTATTAAAAAATGGTTTCAAGGGGATGCCACCCTTATACAAGGCAAGAATACTAAACAAAACAAGTCAACTATAGCTATACCAAAAGAGTACAGCAGCTAGTATTTATGTCCTTAAAAAGTACAGCTGCCGGTGCCACATTCTGACTGCAATACATGTGGCAGGATGCTGGCATACCAGGCCAACAACCTCCATACCTAAAATCTTTGTTATCAAAATTTTACGATTCGTGATTTATGCAAAATCGATACAAATCTATAGTGGATCACATGACTGACTATTGATTCACAATTCGATTCACTTTTTATGATTCATGTAATTGTTGAAATTATCGTGTTCGACATATTTTGATTCTATTTTCTCCCCCTTTTTAGTGGAAATGACATAATACAATTTTTAATAGTGTTTAGTATGAAAATAACCAATGTATATATATATATACATGATATTTTGTTATTTTGGTGATCAAGGAGTTTTTAATAGGATTCAATCAAATTCAGTCAGACCTAACATATTTTTAACTTTTTCTTTTCATGTGTTTTCTTAAAAAAATCATAATATTTCTTCTAAAGATGTTTAAGGTTAAAAGAACTTGCACCATGAATTATCTACTATTATTTTATTGAAGTACATATAGTTCAATATTGCATGGGTGAGGTGACAATTAAATCTAGGGGTTTTCAAATTACTAAGTGAATTGAAGAACCGAACCAAACCGACCTTTTTGCGTTGGTTTGGTTTTTGAGTGCATTGGTTTGGTTCCGGGTCTTCAAATGATCAAATCGGTTTTTGAGTGCATTGGTTTGGTTCCAGGTCTTCAAATCCTCAAACTGATAACCAACCTAAGAACCAAACCTATTTGTATATATATTTTAAATTTTATTTTTATTAACATGTCTTCATCTTATTGCTATATTACAATGGTTTTGATTACACATTATAATTTTCCATATACAAAAATTATTAGGTAAAGGAAGGAAGTATAAGAAACTTGAGTCTAATTTTGTAATTGATTTAATTTGTATTGGTTGTATGAATGGACTTAATTTGTATTGATGACATTTAAGCTTGAGTGGGATTTAATTTGTATTGGCTTGCATTAAACAATATTTTGCTCTTTGTTTGTGCTATGTTTAAATGTTAAAGGCTTGTTTATTTTAATTATTTATTATTAACTGATTTGCTTATTTTTACTATAGTGGAATTGTGGTTCTAACCTGAGCTATATTGGATTCGGTTGGATTGGTTCTAGTGCATGATTGATTTGGTTCTAGGTCTGAAAACTTGGAATTGATCGTGATTGGGTTGGTTCCAAATTTAGTGCCAAACTGAATCAAACGATCCATGAACATCTCTACTTAAACCTAATGGTTCCACAAGTTCTTTTCTTTTCTTTTCTTTACTTACTTTTTTTTATTTTTTTTAAAGAAAAAAACTTTTTGGAACAATATGCATATATACCTTTAAAAATGTTTTAGGTTTTAAAATAAAGAATTCAATTTAATTCTTTCTTATTATTGGGTCATTGTTACTTAGAGAGGTATGCATGCTTATTCTCCAAATATCAACATTGTTGTTAAGTTATTGTTAGAAATTGAGAGTTTGTCGTTATTTATTTTCTTTATGAAGAATGGTTGATAAGAAATATCTAAACAAGGAAAAAAGTAATATGGTGACCTTACATGGGACCCATGTTAACTTCTTACCAATTAGACCATGTGATCGTCATTCAAAACAATATTTTTATTGATTTAAGTTTAAATATTTCATATGTTTGTAATATATTTCTAAGTAATTTAGAAAAAGTGATCGAATCTTTACGATTCATGATTCGATTCGATTCATGATTCAATATAAGGCCATTTTCATTCATGATTCGAATTCTGATTTGACAATTACGCCTAAAATTAATGGATCATCCTACCACAACCCTCTGAAAGAAACCAGCTAGAGAGCCACTAATCAAAACAAGCTGGAGAGGCATCAGTCACATTATTATTGCATACTTATTGTTAGCAATAACCAACTTTGTGTCCTCCCTGGGAAAGTAGAAAATGTTTTATAAAGTGCAGTGTGTTCAATTCATTTAAGTTTGCTATATGTTGGGATAACTTAGTTGTTTCCAAGTTACTTGTTAAAGATAGTGGCTGATCTTTTCAGAAATGCAAATAAATAACTTATTGACCTTATTGTTCACAGGCTAATCCTCCTCAGTTGCATTCAAACCTCAAGTTCATCCAATTGTACCGGAGGCAGGCAAAACTTGTCTCGGAAGCAGCTTATTATTTCACAAACCTTGTCTCTGCCAAGTCATTTATTGTTGACCTAGATGCCCAGTCACTTTCCATCAATGAAACTGAATTCCAGGAGAGCATGCAAACTGCCAGATTGGCCATTACAGGGGCACAGATAAAATTCCCACTTGCATTACACAAAACAGAAGCTCTGCCAGTTCCTTCAACAAGAGGAAGAGGGCATAATGAAGTGACACAAAATGAACCCTCTCCCTTGTGCACATTGGATGAGGTAGTGGACTTGGTTGGTCAGTCAGATCTGGGGCCTTCTAAAGGAATGCAGGGTAGAGAAGCAAATATTAATGGTGAGTTTAAACTGCCTATGACTCCTGTTTCTCATTAAAATTGAAGTATTGTGTTGGTTGTTCGATTTTTTTTCTGTATAACCATCATTTTTTTACATGCATTGGATAAGACCACTAAGAGCATGTTTGGTACGCAAGAATGGAATGACGTGGGAATGGAATGAGAGTGAAAATGAAATATAAGGTTGAATGGAATGGAATGTCCGTTCTCATTCCACTGTTAGGTTGCCAACATGGAATCACGTAAGAATGGAATGACAATTCACATTCTCATATTTCTGTCTATTAAACTAATGGAATTCTTTGAGTTCTTTATTTATTTATTTATTTATTTTTATAATCAAATTAGTAACAACCAATCTAAATATATATAGATCATGATAGTGTCAATAGTTGTGGAAGTGGCACTAGGATGGTAGTGGAGGTAGTAGGGCAGTGCCATGGTGGTGGGTGGTGGGGGGTGGTGGGTGTAGGTGGTAGTTTTAGTGGTGGTAGTAGGGTGGTAATTGTGGCGTTGGTAACGGTAGTAAGGTACTGGTTGCGATTGTAGTGGCAGATGGTGGCGGCGAAGGTGGTGTTAGTAGTGGTAGTAGGATGGTGGTGGTGATGGTGATGGCAGCAGTGGCAGAAGGGGATGGGGTCAGTTGTGGTAGTGGTGGCAGAAGGGAATGGTGGTAAGGTCAGACCAACATACACTGTTCTAAGGTGATTGATTCCATGATGGAATGAAATACTTATTCCTTAGCTTGGAGAAAGAATACGATATTCCACTTACATCAGGCCTACCCAAACAACGGGAAAAAGAGGATGCAAAGTTGGATAGGGACATTTCATTCCAACCCATTATATTGTACCAAACATGCTCTAAATATATTTGTTCAATTAAACTCCTTAGGTTCCACTTTTTCCAACGTCTGCTGGAATGCGCAGCTATATTTCCCAATATTTTGATGTCAGTTGTGTTATTGTTTTGGAATAACTATATGGTTGTGTCATATGATACTAACATTACTATCTGAACTGCCTTGATGACATCAGGCGGATCATGTTATCCTTTTATGGAGGCCGAGGCTGGTGAATTGACCATAGGGGATGTGGAGAAATTGCTGAACTTGTACAAGGATGTGGTGAAAAAGTACACAAGCCTTTGCAGTGCTGTCAGACACTTGACTGTTTCCAAGATAGAGCCCTCTGTTCCTCATCTAAAAGGAACCAATGCCCAACCAACTCCACCAAACCAAGAAACAAATAAAGAAAGATAATAAAATACGAAAAATGAGCAACAACAAATTTGTAAGTACCCTATAGAATTGTAGTTTACATTAATTTCTATTATATTTAACTACTTAATTGGGTATGAAAGGAAATGTTGCCATTTGCACTTCGTGCTAATTATGTTTCTGAAATTTTGTTGATCAATAATAAATTAAGGGCATACTCGTGATACAATTCAGATTTTTTTCTTTTTCTTTTTATAATTTGTATGAGCTTATATACAATACAAAATATGTGCTGGATCACATTAATTTTGGTGGCGACAGAGAAGGGAGATTTGTTGATACAATAGAAATTATCTTGACATCTACACCCACCCTCGGAATGGATAGACATAAACAAGCTTTACATTTACAAGAAATACTGCATTAACACTGTTTGGTTAAGGGATTTGGGAAGAAATTTGAAAAGAGAAAGGAAAAAGGTACTTGAAACTAGATAAAATGTAAGTATATTTTATTCACATTTTAACTATTTTTTTTCTCTCTTTCCAATTTCTTTTTTAAATCTTCTAACCAAACAGACCCAAGCTTGGAGGTATTAGTTGTAGCTGCTTCATTTCTGCATGTCCTGCTGGACAACCTGCCCATTTTAGCCGCCTCATTGAACTGAGCTTCCTTAGATGCCTCTCTATACAGAGTTTAAACATCTCATGCGAATGAACTTTGCTGGGATTGCGTCATAGTAGTCAATTCCAGCACACCGAGTGTGCTGGCAGATGCCACATGTGTCACAAGCCAACATCTGCTCTCCATTGTCATCCTTAGGCCCGCATGTGCAATCTACCGTCCAGTTCTCCGTTTGCTTCTCCATTCGGACATGTGTTCCAACGCATTTGCCTCTAACTCATATTAACCCCGTTGATCCCACCAGAAGTTTCAGTGTCATGGAATCTTCCAAAGGCTCGTAATGCACATCATCAATTTTAAGTCTGTCAAACAATGCATACACTTCTTGAAAAGCTTTTGTAGCTTCAAGTTTTAAGTCAGCCACAGAAGCATTCTGTGGCAAGATTAAAAGTTCTGGGGCTGGGGCTTGGGGCTGGGTCATCTTTTGGGTGGTCTGCAACCTCTACATGACACCATAGGTAGATTGCAAATCTTGTAGCTGCTGCCATTTTGTCAGGCTTTTAGTCCTTTAACAAATTGCTTGCAGTCAAGGATTTGGGTTGCATAATCACTTATGAGTTCTCAGCAGCATAGAGGAATGTGGAATATAATCATATGTTACCTGGAATGTGGATTGTTCCAGGATAGAGAACGGGAACGGGAACGTGATACACTACATACTCTAAAATGTGATACGATAGGTGTGAACTTGTATATATTATACTTGCAAATTCGAGGTACTTTTAGAGTAATTTTCTTTTAACTATTAGGCATCTAATAAAATTTAGTTTTCTTTTTTCATGTAACAAAACATTTCTATGAGTACTATGACCCATTTTTTATGTTTTATCTTGTCAAAACTTAACTTATCTTAGATTTTAATTCATTATATTTGATTTTTTCCTCCTAACGAAACATTTAAGGAAATTTATTAAAAAAAAGCTTTTGGGATCGTTTTAGATCGTTAAATTTACCGTTTTGAAACGCAAGTGTATCATATTTTGAAACATGTGTACCAATACGTAATTCGTTAGAGTATTAATGTTTTCTGGTAACAGAAAATCATACAAAAATTTCAAGTCATGAATGAGATGTTCTTTTGATGGGCAGTTTGAGTTTGTGCCGTCTTGATTCAGCACAAATCCAAAGGGCTCAAGTCTGCTTTAGTATAAGAAGAAAAAAAAGAAAAAAAAAAGGGGGAGAGTTAGCGACATCACAGACAGATACATGCAACAATTAAATGGTACAGGAAAAAGAATGACGTGTGCCTTGCCATGCCTTGCCTTTCCTAAACTCAACAGCCGAAGAAGTTGGATTGCATCGGGAGTTAACCATATCGCCATTGGGTGCCATCTTTCCAGCCAAGTGTTTAAGGCAGTAATCAAGGAGCTCTGATGAGGTCACCTTGCACAGAGCACGCCGTGAGACCCAGCTGGGGGTGTCACCTGCAGCTGCAGCTGCTAGCAGCACTTTGATCATGGCTTGTTCTACAGATTCCACATCATTCCTTGTCCAAGCACCCGAAAAGTTTGTAATTGTAGTGTACGTAGGCTTCTTACATGTTTCATTCTTTGTTGCTTTTGTTGACCTATGATTTTCATGTATCAGCTTTAAGACGAATAAGAAGAGGTCCCTTAGCGATACAACTGGAGAGTCTTCTTCTAATATGGACTGGTAGAATGTAATTAGTGCCTGCAATTGAGTTGGGGGTGTACAGTGATGGCCTTCGAAGTAGAACTAGGTTAAGGGTGTGTTTGCCAGAGTTCGAACTGCTTTTCAGTAGGCATCTAGCGTGAGAGCGTAGCTCCCAGCACCAAACTCATATCCTCAGTTGCTGTACCAAGGATGGCTGTTGGTAATTGCATGCAAAAGTCGGTATTCCATCCTGTATTTTTTTTGATATATCCATCACACTAACCTTCCTGTTTAAAAGCAAAATGGCAGAAAATGAGAATCATATTGGATGGATCGAAGTCTCTTTGTAAACATAAGTAGGGCAAACAAACATTTAAACAAATTGTAGGGCAGCCTATCTATTTTTTTTATATTTATTCTCACTCATTGTTTATTTTTCTCTCCGTTTCTTCCTTGGTTCTAAATGATTTTGTCAGGCCATTGTCCAGTTTTTATCTTATTAGTCCCTTACAGATGAATTACTATGGGGCTATTTAATGTAACTTGTAGAGTAATTTTTAACTTATTTTAATTTTAAAAATTTGTGTCAACTTTTGGTGCAACTTTTATTTACAATTTATAAAAAAAATCCACTTCTATTGAAGAATGAAACCCTACAGTTCAAATGTCCAAAACTTGATCAAATCAGCGTTTTAAACGGATTAGAATGAAGAGAATGGAGAGGTAAACAACTTTATACCTTGAGATTTTGGATGAATCTTGCTCTTAATGCTCCAAATCAAGGGTTGAAATAGTGTAAAGACAATATTTTTAGAGAGAGAAAGTAGAGAGAAAGGAGAGAATTGATGGGTCCAATCAAGAATATGAGAGAAATTAGAGAGAGAGGAACCCTAAGGTTCTAGATAGAGAATATCTCAATCAATTAATGTTCATATATCAAAGTTAAGTTACAAAATGGTGACTGCTTCTCTAGTTCTAGGCTAACAATTAACCACCATTAACTAGTCACATGCCAAGCACATGATGTCTCACATTATACTCTCCCACTCAAACGAACTTGTCCTCAAGTAAGGACCAAAAACAAAGTACAACCAATGCATAAGAAATGAAACACAATACTAGACAAATACAATATCTAAAACAAAGGAAGTGGCGTTGGTGCAAGAAGAACCCAACAAAAGAAGTGGCTAAGTAGTTGCAAATCCTTTATTCAAGATCAACTGTAGCACTTGTGTCCTTTAAACTATTGGCAAGATCAACTGTAGCACTTGTGTCCTTTAAACTATTGGAGAGTGTATTTAATTCCTTCATTTTCACTTTGGTAGTCTGTGCAGTTGTTATGTTTTGGTTTTGGATGAGTACAATTCGATTTAGACTTGTTGGGATTGTTTGTTCGCACTTGTTTTCGTTGAAAAGTTTTTTGAAAACTTAGAAAATTTGTTCTAGTGTTGATACTAGTCTTCCTGGGAGTCGACACCACCTTGTTGCCATACTCTTAGTGCCTCTGTTGGTTTTTGGGGTCGACACTTGAGTTCCTGGGGTCGGCACCTGAGTTCCTAGGGTCGACAATTTCCTTGCTGTTTTGTTTTGGTTGTCTACTGAAATATAGGGTCGACACCACTGGTTCCTAGGGTCGACCCTTGTCTACTGCACACTTTATTGTCTCAGCATTTTCTTCTTGAGAGTCGACACCACTGTCTTGAGGGTCGACCCCTGTGGGTTATTTTCAGAAATTTGGTTTAGTTTTGGGCCCAACTTTTGGGCATTTTGACTTATTCTTTTCATTGAATTTAGGGTTATTATTCTACCACTATAAATAGACCCAAACACACTTTTCTTATTCACTTCTCTCTCTCTCTTAGAAACTCAACTTTTTTTACATAGATCTCTAGATCTACTTGGTTAGAGACATCTTTTCACCTTGATCCATTGAGAAAGATTGTAGATCTCGTCAAAGACTTTCTTTTGATCTAAGTGTTTCGTGGTTTCATCGACTTTGAGTTTTTCTGAGTACTCCTCTTTGCTTCAAGAGGTAGTGTCTATTTCATAAACTCAAATATGAGTTCAGTAACATATTTGTGGCGTATTTTGTTATTTATTTTTGGTAGTCATTTGATATGATTTTTACCCTAATTATTTGTTATTTCAAAAGATCTATGGATTTGGATGTTTTGGGTTAAACTTAGGGTTTGGATTTGAAATGTGAAAGATAGATTTTTTTTTCTTTCTTTTCTTTTTCAAATGAGTTCTTGAACAAGATTATGATTTTGTATTAGTAGTTGAAATATGTTGATATGGTGGCTTTTCTTTACTCAAAAGTGATGTTGAAAGAAAAATGAGGTTTTGTTCTAAAACCATGGGTTTTGGCTTGTGTTGGAAAACAATGAAAAAATGATGTTGGTTTTGTAAGAGATGGGAAGAAAATGGTTGTGGGATTTTGAAAATGGGTGTTGTTACTCTTTTGAAAAATACATTTATATTGTTATCTTTTAATTATTGCATTAGAGATAACTGTTTTGGCTATCGGTGGAGTATAACATTGCCGCGTGTTAGAAATTGCAAGTGGATTAGGCAATTTGAAATTATTCATATCATGGAGCATGTAATGGATTTTGGAAATTGAAACTATATGTTTTGGAAAGGGGTTTTGGAAATTCTCACATTATATTTTGTAACATTTGCATTGTTTTAGAAAAATAATATATTGAGTTACATGTATTATACTATTGAAAAGGGTAAATACAACGGTGAATCTAGGAAATAAGTATTGTCTCGTTGAAATAAGTTGGCCTGAGTGTTCGTGGTAAAAGTCCTAAAAATCGTGTGCATACATGGGTGTTGATCCCGCGGACGAAATATCCGTAAAATGGCAATAGTAGTGCTTGTATAACCTACGTTTACATGGGTGACGGTTTACGGTTTCCTGCGGACGGAA